TTGCAGCATAAATTGTAAGTGATCATAACAGACTTCCTGTCAATTGACACACATGGCGGACAATAATACTGTACATGTTTACAAAATGGTTCAAACTGTTCAGCTGAAGAACACATATAATACAAAAGGCCTTCCATTATTTGATCACTGCTTTACATTGAAAGAGGTCAGCAGTGTATAGGGAGAAGAGTGATGAAGGGGTTGGCTATGTGGACACACAGGGTGTGGGCCTCAGTGTGTGGCAACTGCTCAGTCATATCAGCTGGCTCTGTACACAAACACACAGGAGACCGACTGTGTATTTTCTCATCTGGAGCTGCAAAGTTGCTATAGAAACAGTCCTGTTTGATAGGGATGGATCCTGTAATAGCAGCTGCAGCCAGGGAAACATGAGAGCTTGTTTTAGAGTGTGGTCTTTCTCACTTTTCCTATTGTTTATTGTCAGTTTGCCATATTTGTGCCTCAGAATAAACAATGGCAAACTGTACCCTGTACTAAAGCCCTGCATCCTGCCAACCAGCATCGTCCATATTAAACAATTGTGCTATTGTACACCAGGCAGTCTACTCTGTCATTGTTCAAAGGGCTTGTTTACAGACACATTTTCCTTTCAAAATGATATCCCTCAGAGGCATCAGAGCACATCTAAATGTAAACACTAAATTTCTAATAGCCATCCCAAATAGCAATAACAAGGGTAGTAGTACAGTTTACAAAAGCTGTTTCTTTTGGACAATGTTATGAAGACTCTTTAACTGACTCGATTTATGACTGCCACAGACCTCCTGGCATCCTAAACATTGACTGGGACATTGTGATAAACCACACGTCTACAATTTTGCCACTAGCCTACGCCTTATTAGTCTGCTGCAGTTAAAACCCCTATGTGCAATTTAATCATGAGGGATGTAATCATCTGTGGATGTAACATCCCATAAGCATGTTGAGTTTCAACACTGACCTCCATTGTGTGATCTACAAGATAAATTGTTGAGGGCATCATGGGTAATCTGTCTTTAGTGAGGCTGCACCTTTGTCAGAGCTGTTTCACTAACTCACCCTACACATTGTCTGTCTCCATGTATGTGGTCAACTGTCCAACTAGATGAAATAAAGGAAATTCAAACATCACGTGTCACGTGACAGGCAGCTTACATTACCGTTTTCTGTATAAACAAATCAATCTCACCAACCTCCAACACAAACAGGTCAATGAGCAACCATAGAGTGAGTCAATAATTAACCCAACACAGTCCCTTGTTGTTATTATGCAGTCAGGGATAGTTTAATATACAGATGCTGGTTTGTCATGTCAACTTGTTCAACTGACAGAAGTGTCATTTTAAACGAAGGGTCACAGTGCTCTTCATAACAATACAACCACTACTGACAACAGCAACAATACCCTTCAGCACTTTCAAAAACATGACCTTTAATAGACCTTGTGTGTAACAGAGTTAGTTTCGTAACCTCACTCCCCAGCTTGAAATGTCTCCACATGTTACATGTGCATTGTGCCTCTCCTACGCTTGGCCTTTCTGCACTGGTCTGTTTAAGGACACAGTGGGCACATACTGCACTGTAGTTAACCTGTCGACCATGTGTCAATGAAAGGGGCTCAACTTAACCTTATGCCACGCCTGACAGCCAACCCCTAATGTAAACAGACCATACCAGATGTATTGACAATGTCACTGCTTCTTATCTAATGTCTGCCCACATCCTGTTTATTTTCATCAGTTTGAAAATGAAAAAATGAAAATAGAAGCAGAATGAGATCACTGGCAAACCCAGTGGTAGGTAATGAGAGGTAAGGTTCTAGACCTAAATAAGCTGATATCGTATTGCTCATGAAGCCAGTTGTTGTTTAGAAAGGAGGAAAACTATAGGCCAAATGGCCAATCTATATGACAAATGGCCTAAATTAGACTGTGCTAATGTCCTGGTATACGTTTGTCAAGATTTTAACACTGTCATTAAGTTTCAGTAATAATTTTGAATTAAAAGACAGTATGTTTTGTTTAATATGTATCATAAGTGCTGTAGCACTTAAATCATTGTAGTCTTTAACCTTTAATTTTTTTTTATATAATTACAACAATGTTCACTTTTGCTGGAACCAGCCTCCCCCATGAGAGACATTTTCAAGGCTTCAATTCTAGAAAAATAATAACGAGGAGGCGATATCACATGACTTCATTTGCCGACTATAATATTATAACCATAGTAGCCTATCATGTCACCTTTCATGTGAAATAACACAGTAAGTAGTAGGCTACATGACGAGGCACTATGAACAATGTGGCCAATGTGTGTTTATTTTTGTCAGGCTTGTGTTTCGGTACAACATGGCAGACACGGACGACAAGGGCATTAATATAAATATAATCATAGCTGTTGCAATAATCATCATCATAATGTAATCGTAATAATCATAATGATACATAAATTATTCATTGTTAACAATAATACTGTAGGTTTTCTATACTTACCATTTGATGATGGTGACTGTATGGAATATTGGTTTCTTGAAAAAAGGCACTCAATGCAGTCTATTGAAAAATAAAATATGTGTCAATAAGCACCAATCCAGTATGCATTGCACATAGGATAGCCTATTGCAGACATAAAACCTATCTCGATATTATACCATCTGCTGTGAAAATGTTACATTGTGCCATTTGGCTGCTGAAAGCCATAGTTAGCTACATTTCCATTGCATAATAGCATTAGCCTACAAAGATAACCATATTATTTTACAAATGATTGGCATTACTGTATTATTAGATGTATTTAATTAATGACTCTGAGAAACAGACACAGACTGATCTATGTCATACTGATCTATCTCCCATGCACCAAACTCAGACAATTCTCAATTAAAGGTTCCCATACCTCGAACTGCCAATGTGCTGCTTGTAGAAGCTGTTTTGCTTGGTCTGCCGCGCATCCAGCAGTCAGAACGAACTGATTTATCATAACTTGGTGCTTTAGATCATCCATATTTGCAGAAGCAGCTATTCTAAACCTTTCCCCTTGGTTTGGTGCTCAGTCCTTGAGGTTTTTATCGCTTGCATTAGCCTTTCCTCTCATCGAGACAGCACAGCCGGCAGAGAAAACTCCAATATTTACTGTATGAACTATGTTCAGTGTCCTGAGCGCCCCTTTGATCCGCAGCACGAGAGAGCAAATCAGAGCGATGGGGAGGGGCGATCAGCAGGTCGGTGACAGAAAGGACTACAAGTTCCTAACACCATGTAGTTTGACGTATGACTTTTATCGCTATATTTAGCGAGTATTCAGACCCCTCTAGCGACACATTTTCGAATAAGCTACTAGTGACAAATCTAGCGATTTTTTCTGGTGTTATTGGAGACTTTTGGAGACTCTGACGTGAAGCACGTATCGTTCTTACTCTTCTCAGCGAGGAGCGGGTGCTGCTGTGGGCCCCAACCCCGTCCCAAAGCACTCACAGGCGGCCCAGTCCTCGCGCAGCAGTCCATCCCAGCTGCAGTCAGAGCAGGAGATGTTCACCCCTCCGCATCCAGACTGCAAATGAATCGCGCATGCGGGAAGCCGCTGCTGGTTGATCCCGCCCTGGCTTACATTCAGGGCGGGATGTAAATGTAAAACATTTTTAAAAACAAGAATCGACAGAAGAAAGTTCAGTTGTAGTTCTAAACATATTTAGGGTGTTTTTTTACTCACTTTTTGTCTCTCCCACGACTTTATTCCTCTCTCCTACAGCGTCCATCACAGTTACATACACATGGCCAATTATGCAAATTGCGCGATTACGTCATTTAGCGACTTCTAGCGACTTTTAGGACAGCCAATAGCTACTTTCCTTACTGAGGAGTTGGCAACACCGATTCACACCATCAGAAGGCTTTTGGCTTGCAACTTGTGTTTATTTTCTTTAGCGGACGCCCAGTTATCCTTGGTTCTATCGTTATTCTTGACAGTTAAACAATTTGATATATAAGTGGCTGTGTAATACCGAAGAAAGTCTAAAACTTATTACAAAACTGTCTCTTGGACGATAAATACACTAGCGTAGGGGCTAGTAGTAGCTAGCTAATTCTGTAGCTAATTAGCTAGCTAACAACAACAAGGAAAGATGGGGTCGATTCTTAGCCGGAGAATCGCTGGCGTTGAGGATATTGATATCCAGGCGAATTCTGCATACAGATTTCCACCGAAATCGGGTAAATATAGCTATTAATTTGGATTGAAACGCTAAAACTCTAAGTTAGCTAACCAGCGACCTGCTAACGCTGCTAATATTAGCTAAACTGACATCATCAGCTCCCATCATTATTAGGCCTAACGTTACATGTGAAAGCTATTAGCTATAAATGGTTATGATATTCAGTCGTGGTGAAATGTTTATTTGATGAGGCAAAGATGAGTTGTGCATCGATGCCCTGATCTTGTCCTGATTAAAGATAGGCCTTCCATCCTGATTTTCTCATGGTTTTCTAATCTAGTCACATACTTCTATTTTCTTTTAAGGGAATTACTTTGCCAGTCATTTTTTCATGGGAGGGGAGAAATTTGACACTCCCCATCCAGAGGGATACCTATTTGGAGAAAACATGGATCTGAACTTCCTTGGAAATAGGCCTGTACAAGTAAGGACAAACAAGTTTGCTATACAATGGCAAAATGTCTTAGCTATGTTGTTAAGTTTTGTATCTTGCAAGCTGCTGACAGAGAAGTAACATGTACAGCATATTAGTCCTATTAGTTGAAGTGGGAGTTCAGGAGTAGTCCTTGATTCACATCCCCCGTGCTATTCAGTAGGCTAAAGCATTTGAAGTTGATCTGCATTGGGCTGTTCTTTTCTTAGACTAGATGTTGTGTGTCACCTTTGCTTAGTTTCCATACGTGACCCCGGCACCCCATGAGCCTGTGAAGACCCTGAGAAGTCTGGTCAATATCAGAAAGGACTCCCTGCGCTTGGTCAGGTGAGGAAAAACACCATCATATTCTACAGCAAGTAGTCTTCTGACTGACCTGTGCTCATTTATTTGTCTTAGTGGTTTCCATTTCAAGTGATTCAGGGTCAAGAATACCGGCTGATTGAGCTTAGCCTAACATCTATTCACTGTACTTGTTTAGGCCTACGTTTAATTTGATATTGACGTACTTTCATAAGTGTGGTGCATGACTAATTTTTTGTTAACTTAATCATAGCTTCACTATCAAAGTTATGTAATTTTGAAATTGGCCACTTGAAAAAGGTAGCCTAACATTATTTTGTTTGTCTGCTTGACTACTAGGTACAAAGATGACACTGACGCTCCAGTGGAGGAAGGGGGGAAGCCAAAGGTTCTGTATGGTGTGGAGTTCACATTTGACGCTGATGCTCGTGTGGCTATCACCCTGTATTGCCAAGCTTTTGAGGAATTCGCCAATGGGATGGCAATGTATGTAAGAGTCTGATTCAGAAACCTTTTCATTTACATGATAGACTATGTTTACCATCAATATGCTATTTAAGTCATTCACTAATTAGAAATACATATTTTCTTCCACTGTCTCTTGCTCCCAAAAATCTAACTAAATGCAATCCAGCATTTTACATTCCTCATTTGAAATGAAATCCATGCCTGTTCATCAGTTTCTGAAGATGTGCAGTGATATTGATTTATTCACTTTAAAGACACATTGTATAAGAACATCTTATGATAGTGCTTGTCATTATGGATATGGCCAATGTACAGCATAGAACGCCAGTCTCCAGAAAGCAGACGGTGAGAGATACAAGGGGTCCTTAGCAACCACCTGTCTCCATGGATACGAAGGTCATCTGAAGAGGGAATTAATATTATAGTTTATGCTGAGGTCATTATGTGAGCGGATGGATGTTTTTTTTCTGCCTTTTTTACATCATGTTTTTTATTGAGATTTTCCATTGACAAATTTGAGAGGGAAAATGATTTTAGTTAGGCCTAATGCTGTTTTTTATTATTTGTGGTCAAAGAAAGAGCTTTCAACAAGAGATCTGAAAAAGAACATCTTACATTTCCTGTATACTAAATTAACTTTGATAGTTTTTGTATTGATAAGATATTGACATCACTGTCCTGTGTAGGTACAACCCAAAGGGACCAGCCATGGTTTCTGAGACTGTGCACTATAAGAGGGGTGTGAGCCAACATTTCTCCCTGCCTTCTTTCAAAATCGATTTCACCGACTGGAAGGAGGAGGATGTGAGTATATCTGGGCAGCAGCACTCAATCCTGTAGAGTGATGTCACCAGCTGACAGTTGATAAACTCATCTGTTGTCACCATTTATTTTATCTTTACAGCTGAACTTTGACCTGGACCGGGGTGTTTTCCCCATGGTGATCCAAGCTGTGGTGGATGAAGGGGATGGTAGGTGGTCCAAACGGTTCGGACGCATAGAGAGATGTTATTAATGTTCTGCACTCCAGAGTTGGCAACTGTCTCTCAACTGCCTCTCCGCTGTACCACAATAGCAGGTGCTAGATTAGGCATTCTGTATGCACAGAGTACAGTAATCCCTTATTAATTAATGTTTGTCCTTTTCTAGATTGCTTGGGACATGCACATGTGCTGCTGGCAGCCTTTGAGAGAGTAAGTAACTCATTGTGATGATCCAGTAGAAGAGGACAGTGTTTGAATTTGACTCAAATTTGCATCCCTCATGATGTCTTCACAAATTATGAATATGTGACGTTAACACAATTTCTTCCTTTCCAGCATGTGGATGGCAGTTTCTCGGTCAAGCCTCTGAAGCAGAAGCAAATTGTAAATTAATCCAAGTTAATCCATGTCTTCTTTATTATATTAGTAGATTATTCAAAATACAAAATGCCTGAATACCAAAAACATGTTAATTTACAACACATATATATTTGTTAGCATGTGTGCTTACTTCTTCCTCTTTATGCCTTATGGGACGTAAGGCTATAATGTGCTCCTTCCATCATTCTCTGTCCTTTGGCCACGTGTTGTTACCATGTGTGCTCTCGGTTATAGGTGGATCGTGTGAGCTACCTGCTGCAGGAGATCTATGGAATTGAAAACAAAAACAACCAAGAGACCAAGGTTCTTATTCTAGAACTCACCAAGAACACTTTTGTAGATGCATACAGTAGATTTATTGAACATGAATTCACAAAGGTTGTTGCATAAGGAAAGCAACACATTTTTACATTCGAGTCTTTCAGAAATGTAAACTAGAAATGTGGCTCATTATGCTGTAGGTTTTCAGACCGTTGGTTATCAGTTGGTTTGCGTGGTCTATTTTTGCTACATGTTCATCCTCTAACAAATATTTTTTTGTTCTCTGCAGCCGTCGGAGGATGAGAACAGTGACAACAGCAACGAGTGTGTTGTTTGTCTGTCAGACCTCAGAGACACCATCATCCTGCCCTGCAGACACCTGTGTCTCTGCAACTCCTGTGCTGACACCCTGCGTTACCAGGCCAACAACTGTCCTATCTGCAGACTGCGTAAGGAGCGAAGCTAGTTTGTTTCCAATAGGCTTCCAACTGGGATTTCATGCCTTATTTCCTGCCTTAGCTAATAGGAAATAGACCTGCCAGGCTGCCATGTTTCAGAGCTCAGTGAGAGAGACACCTAATGGATGTAGAGATGAACGCCCTGTGGGGACTGAGCTGATTTAAGGAAAATGCTGTAAAGTTGACATTTAAGTGAAGATGTAGTCACATTTGACAGTGTGTAGTGTAATCCGTGTTTGGTCTGTCTCTCTCCCCAGCCTTCCGAGCCTTGCTGCAGATCAGAGCTGTGAGGAAGAAGCCTGGGCCGCTTTCCCCTGTGTCTTTCAGCCCTGTACTGGCTCAGAACATGGACCATGATGAGCACTCGGTACGGCCCACGCATTTGTTGTTATTACACACATGGCATCATTTGTGTCAAGGATCATTTCTTATTCTACTTGTATTTAACAAACCTCAACTCCATCACTATGCAATTACAAAGCCTTTCATAAATGACTGTGAATGACTAGTAAATATATGACCAGTCTTTCTGTGTGTGTGTCTCTCCAGAGCTCAGACTCGGTTCCCCCAGGCTTTGAGCCCATCTCTCTGCTGGAGGCCCTTAACGGCCTGCACTCTGTGTCCCCCTCCATCCCCCCCGCCCCCACTCTACGATGATATCAACTTCTCTGGTGGCCTGGTAGGGGAGGGCCGGCCGCTGGGCTCCCCAGAACACTCCGGGGACGGGGGCCTGCAGAAGGCCAAAGTCAGCAAGTCACCTGACAGGTAATCCTGTGACACCAGGGTTGTCACAAGCCCAGTTCACCCTTTCCTCCATCTGAGATGGACCATCTCCCTGAAGTGTGCACTTGTACACTACACTCCCCCTCATGGATTTAAAAGGAATGGACAGGTGTAAGGGATGATGGTGGAACCTCCCTCCAGCCAATATGTAAACCAATCCAATGCTTTGAAATCTTTTGCGGTAGGGTGAGCCAGTGCACACTTTAGGAAGAAGGGGGAGAAACTGAAGTAGGGCTACAGTCTCCCAGTTGCTGCCCTCTACAGTCCAGCTGCCTGCTACTGTAATTGTTCACACCATTACATTACCATTTGATTTTGAACTGCCTCTAACTTGGAGCATATTCATATGCATGTTTTAATTATTTAGTTTTACATTTAATATGGAGTTAATAGCCCTGACATGAACTGCACTGGATGGATTTGCTTTTTGGACATTGGCTTTGACTCTGGATTGATTGCTCATCACTTTGTGTAACAGCTGGCCCAGGGTCAGAATAAAGAGGCTCCTTACGTTGTGGTGAGCTGCTGCTAGAGGTCTTCTCCTGTATCCAGCACTATGCTACAAACTGATTAGACGGCATGTCCTTGGCAATCCATCCAGTTGACATTGCTGAGCCTTGCCAACCTGCAGGAAAGAACATTACTACAGGACAACAGTACAGAGTGCAGTCTGTTTATTATAAAGAACATTACTACAGGACAACAGTACAGAGTGCAGTCTGTTTATTATAAAGAACATTACTACAGGACAACAGTACAGAGTGCAGTCTGTTTATTATAAAGAACATTACTACAGGACAACAGTACAGAGTGCAGTCTGTTTATTATAAAGAACATTACTACAGGACAACAGTACAGAGTGCAGTCTGTTTATTATAAAGAACATTACTACAGGACAACAGTACAGAGTGCAGTCTGTTATTATAAAGAACATTACTACAGGACAACAGTACAGAGTGCAGTCTGTTTATTATAAAGAACATTACTACAGGACAACAGTACAGAGTGCAGTCTGTTTATTATAAAGAACATTACTACAGGACAACAGTACAGAGTGCAGTCTGTTTATTATAAAGAACATTACTACAGGACAACAGTACAGAGTGCAGTCTGTTTATTATAAAGAACATTACTACAGGACAACAGTACAGAGTGCAGTCTGTTTATTATAAAGAACATTACTACAGGACAACAGTACAGAGTGCAGTCTGTTTATTATAAAGAACATTACTACAGGACAACAGTACAGAGTGCAGTCTGTTTATTATAAAGCTTCACGTCGGTTGTAAAAGTGTTTTTTTTGTTTTATCAATGTCACCTCATTGTAAGTGTTTGACCCCTGCAGCACCCTGAGGTCGCCCTCATCACCCATCCAGGAGGAGGATGAGGAGAAGCTGTCTGAGTTGTCGGATGCCCAGCCTCACACACTGCTCTCCAGCAGCCCTGCTCCCACCGAGGCCACTGCAGCCGAGGATGTACCGGAGTCCGTCTCCCCAGATGATGGTGAGTTCTGTCATGCTCTGAATGCACATAGATAGCTGTTGTAGTAGGTCCAGTCTACATCAAGTTTGGGTAGGTGACCCCTCTAAATAATGACTTGAATTACCTACCAGGGTACATTGCAAACCAGCATAAGGACATTTAGGTCTTGTTGCATGTTGTGACCTTGTCTCTCCCTCCTGTCATGTGTGGTACAGAGGACAGGCTGCACTCTGGAGGAGAGCGAGAGATCCTTCATGACTGCAGCAGTGAACACAGCAGCCTGACCAAAACAGAGAGTGACCCGCCAGGGGACCTTTCTCTGCCAGGTAAGCTAATAATAACACAAGGCCCAGGCCCATATCTGTGCTTGTGTGCACAAGCATGTATGTTTGTCTGGATATTAAAGATATTCTCCGGTACTGTATACATTTTAGCCAGTAGTTCTGAAAGTAGCACCCTTGAGCCAAAAGTGGTCCCCGTAAATTGCGCACTACATCACAAATGTACAGATGTATGCACCACATCATTGCTCTCTCTCCCTCTACTGTGTGCGTGTTGCTATCTGTCACTCCCTTGGCGGGCTGAAGCTCATAGGCTGAAACTTGAATTGCTAGGCGGCTAGCCCACATGGTGGTAAATGTAGGGAAAATGGCGCTGCACAGCTTCCAGACAACAGTCAAACTAGGGATTTTTTGGCTAGTTCTGCTCATAGATTATGCATGAACTACACATTAACACATCCAGCCCAAAGCGGGAGGTTTAAAAAATACTTACTAGTTGCCAAAGTACCAGAGCATGTCTTTAACACTTAAACCAATTGTAAACATACATTTTTGATTGCGGGTATAACACCTTTGGCTAATTTTCTCTTTATTCTCCCAGGCTTTCAGTCCTCCAGCTTTGCATCTAACCTGTGTGCTGTTGTTTATTCTTCTCTGTTTCCTTACTCCCTGCGCTGTCCCTTTACCTGGCGTTGCTATGGCCAGCTCTAGGTCCTGATGCCTGCTCTATTGGTGTGGAGGAATAAATGTGGTATGTAGGACTTCTCTGTCCTGTCTTTACCTATCTGCTTTTCTGTCACGTTGCTTCGGAGAAACCGATCCCTCGCAATCTGTCAGATTCAGGACAGTTGGTTAATAATCTGCTGCAGGTTTTAACTGTTTATCATGAAAATTGACAGCAAGTTTGTATTGATAAGTATGCAACTGCTTAGATTTATTTCACATGAGTAAGAGATCCTCTTGTTTAATTGGATCATCCTCCTCGTGTCCACAGGGTCATCAGAGTCAACGGAGAGCCTGAAGAGTCAGAGTACCAACTGCTCCAGCCAGCCCCTCCTGTGTCCCCCCAGCAGCCTTCACATGGAGGATGAGCAACTTGACTCCTAACCTCTGGGCCCAACGGTTTCTCCCTCTCTGGCTGAGTCCCAATTCTCCACCCTTCTTCAGAAGTGTGCACTTGCACACTTTCTCGCATTGGATTTAACAATGGTGGAAACTCCTTCCAGTCAATAATTTCACCAATCCAATGCTTTTAAATCCATGACGGGGAGTGTGAAAGTGCACATTTAGCCTGAAGGGTGGAGAATTGGGACTTAGCCATGGTCTCCTCCCAAGCCCATCCCTCCCCCATGATCCAGTCCCTTTGGTCTTCTCCAAGGTCCACTTTCCTACTTTGGTCACCTATTCATGCCATAGCTGGCATCAATTGTGGTGGTCATTGCAAGGATTTACTAAAACCATACTATACCTTAACTAAAAAACAATAAGTCCTTGATTAGATTGCTTTACATACATTTAGGAGTGTGTAATTGTTTGTCCATTCTGGATGGGGTTGTGGTGCAGTGGCGGACGTTGCATGATTCCAGAGGTTGAGTATGACTACCATCATATGGTGGTGCCAGAAGCACACTCACTTTCAGTTGACTCTACTCTAATTACTGCTTGACACTAATTGTTTTAGAGAGCATTAATACCATTCCTGTTGTATTCATCTATGACAAACAAATAACTTTTTTTACATTTTATTTCTTGGTGCTTGTATGATATGAAACGTTTTTGAAAGCAAACTCTGAAACATTTCGATGGACTTTTGACATGTTTAAACATGACAATTTAATGTTGTCATTTTAAAGGTTTTGAGGACTAATTCATTTTACCTTGTGAAATGGTGAATTCCCCTGTAATAGCAAGTCAAATTGAGGCATTTCATTTCAAGTTGTCTTCAACAGTAAATATCTACATTTGTGCATTTTTATACTGAATTATGTGATATCCTATATATTGTACCTGTACTAGAAAATTGTGTAGATTAATTAGCAAAATTGTATATTTGTGTATTATAGAATTAAAATAACGAGATTAGTAGTTACAGCTACATGCACAGTATCTCAAATTTAGCTGATAGATTTCCTGTGACAGAGCCCCCAGCTTTACACCCTAACAGCTGAACACAAAGAAATATAGAGCCTGCAACAAGCCAATATGCTATGCTGACTGTATAGCACAAACTGTGTTATTTGTAGATGTGGCAGATTTCTGTAGTTCTATTGTGGCTTGTCATCATGGCATAGTCATTGCCTTGCTCAAGTTCTATGACTTGCAGTGTCTGACTTTCCCGTAGATGTAGCACCGTACATATAGATCTATGTGCCTTCAACAACTAAACAGATGTGGCTGCTGCTTGTTGTGTTATTGGTGTTCTTGTGATGAAACTGTTTTGAGGATATACAGCTGTATGAGCCTGTAGTCTAGGAGTTTTTATTTTCATTGGCTTATATAAAGAGCTTTAAATGTATGACCTTTCTTTGCATTCTCAATGGTTCATGAAATATTTCAAAATAAATCTTATTGTTGTTATTAAAAAATTATTAAAACCAACTGTTCAGCATTTACAATTATGTTAAATCCATATATTGATACATTTCATCTAAAAAAGTAAGTACATTTAAAGTAGACTTGGTTGTTATATGGTCTGTATTGTGTTTGTTTCCTTATTTTTTTGCCAGGAGGAATAAACTAAATGCTTCTTAACCATTTTACTTATGCAATATGTTGAGACATTAGGTTATCTTTTGCATGTGGGTTTTGTTGTAGACAGGCGTAAACCTCTCCAAACGGGGGGACCAGTATGAAAAAATGTATGCACTCACTAACTGTAAGTCGCTCTGGATAAGAGTGTCTGCTAAATGACTAAAATGTAATATCTAAAATGTAAACTGCTTTGGATTCATACTGTTCATGTCATGTGTCTTTTACTCTAACGATGTGCCATGTTAACTTTGATGATACACCTGTGCCTTGTTCCTGTTTCTCACTATTATTGACCTGGTATCCAGGATAACACCACATTTAGTGATTCATAACTCTTTCAATATCTGTCTGTCCCTGTGTGTACAGATGTAAGATCTTAATTTGATCAATATTTTGTTGCTGAGAATTTTCCTGCACGGTAGGAAAGGCAAACTTGTGTATTCGAGGTTTAAAAAGGCTACTCAAGTTTGTAATTTCCACTTTAAAATATCACTTGATTTGCCCTAATGAAAAATGTATCAACCCCTTCAAAAATGTCCATTCATTATAATAAACATAATTTAAATGTCCTGTTGCTGCAGGATTATTTTCCTGTTGTAGCAAACTGGCTATAGCCGCATGTGAATAACAATCAAATAAATGTAATGTTGAACATTTAATGTCTCATGCTTGATTTCCATTGATCTGTGATGACCGTTTAGGGTAATCAGTTTGGAGGCCTCCGTGTAGCTCAGTTGGTAGAGCATGGCGCTTGCAACGCCAGGGTTGTGGGTTCGTATCCCACGGGGGGCCAGTATGAAAATGTATGCACTCACTAACTGTAAGTCGCTCTGGATAAGAGCATCTGCTAAATGACTTAAATGTAAATTCTGAATAAGTGGGACACTTTTTGCATTTCTGTCTTCTGTAACCTCTTTCGACATCTATCCAACATATTAGCCCAACACATGATACCTTCCTGAAATCCTCAAGATGTTTCCTAATCACACAAAAAAAACTGATGTTGATATCATATTCACAGGAGGCATGACACACTCATTTGTGGACACTGAGTCAAAACCATGAAGGCCTGATTCACACAGTCTCCTCTGAACAGTTGATGTTGAGATGTGTCTGTGACTTCATGTAGTAACCAAAGAAGTGTTAAACAAATCAAAATATATTTTATATTTGAGATTCTTCAAATAGCCACCCTTTGCCTTGATGACAGCTTTGCACACTCTTGGCATTCTCTCAACCATCTTCACCTGGAATGCTTTTCCAACAGTCTTGAACACGATAACCTAACATCGACAATAACCAGTAGATGTCGCTATTACATCATGTCAAACCCAGAATTACCCAATTTCATCCCAGAGCCAGTATGTTCGCAATGTCTACACACAATATCTTTATCTATAACGTGTATGTCTTCAACGTCTATAAAACGAGGATTTAATTAAAAGTCAATTCAAATATCGACCATGTGTAGGTAAATTCACATCACAGTTGTAAACATTTAACTCCAAAGGTGGCTGTTTTACATTCAACTAACGATGTATTAATTATCTGCAATTATAAAGGAGACATTTTAAATATTATTTATCATCAACTGTCCAATAGCCTACAGAAGACACTTAGTAAGAAAACTGCACTTGAGTTTTTAAATCAAAACGCATCCTACATACAATGCATGAATGCACAACGTTTTCATGACAGTCAGAAGACAATTTCTAGCTGATGAATTAGGTAAAAAATATTACATAGAATATTCTGAATAATTACTTTCTGTTTGTTTTCACTGACTTAACACATTTTTCCTATATATGCACACATTCAGTGAGTCGTAGAAACAGAGATGAAACCTGGAAACCACGGAGCCAATCAGTGACCTGCAATTTGTTTATGGCTATTAAAACTCGTGGCGGTCTTTTCTGTGTTTCCCTCAGTATGTTCTGATCTTTCTCTCCGCCGTTATGGGATTATTATCACACACCGACAGGATCTGGGGTTTACATTTTTAGATAGCAGTTCCTCTCCAAGCCATCTGTACAGACATCGCAATAACTTGTAAAAGGTTGGGTACCATATGAGAACAGTGGAGCTGATCACTCAAGCTGCACTGCGGAGTACACCAAGGTAATTGTACTGTTTTTGCTTCTTTTATTTTTATGAGATTATAATGCAGTTTTTCATATTGTAAATTAAAAGTCAGCTGAGTGAGATCACACCAATATGGAAAGGATTCACAAGGAATGAAAGGCAGCAAGAAATGTAATACAGTGATCTTTTGTGGGAATTTATTAACAGGGACACTTTACAATGCCAGTACTACCAAGTCAGGAGATTGCCACCAGATTCCAGGAGAAATGGATGAAGCTTCACCCAGAAGACCAAGACAATGTGAATGGTTCAGTGCACCTGGATGACAGTCTCACCAGCCTCCAATGGCTCCAGGACTTCACCATAGTCAGTGCGAGTCTAGAAAGCATACCGGGCTCCACTTGCCAACCGTACCACCTGCCTCAGCCCAGCCACCTGCACCCTCAGGGCTCCGACTCCCCCTCCAGTCCACCTGCTGGGGACACTGCAGCCTCCGGCATGCCTCAGAGTGCAGGCAGCCCCATCACCTCCAGTGCCTCAGCCAACAGGACTAGTTACTCCTCACTTCACCAGACAGTGACCAACAACCACCACCAGATCACTGTGCCAGCCAAGTCCCTGGAGGAGGAAGACTTCAAGACCAACCACGAGGTGAAGCCTTCCTATTCCTACGCCACACTGATCTGCATGGCCATGCAGGCTGGGAAGAAGAACAAGATCACACTGTCTGCTATCTATAACTGGATCACAGAGAACTTCTGCTACTACAGACATGCTGAGACCAGCTGGCAGGTTAGTGACTCAGTCTGTCTTCTACATTATTGATCAAACCTGAGAGAGGTACGCAACACAGGGGGAGAGAGATGTGTGGGCGATTGCATGGAACCAATCCCTCAGAGATACAGTATTTATTTTGATGTTGTATGGAAAATAAATTCTAGGCCTATCATGGTTATATGTTTTAATCATTGATGTAATCATGGGTTATTTCTTGTTTGATTTTCTTTTGGAAATAAGTAGAGGGTGCTCAACCAATGAGGACCACTTTGGAAACAAGCGTTTTAATTAATACTTTCAAGTGATATCCTCTGGGTTCACATTGTTCATTTTGTATATGTGTGTTACCCAAAATACGTTCAATTCGATTCAAAGAGGTGCAACCTAAAAATGTGTAGACATCTTTGGACAGGAAAAGGCACAATGCTCACTCACCATTAAAAATGTGTAGTTTTATTAGACAAGTTTAAAAGATTGACGTTGTTTGATTTTCTTGGAATCTCTGTGATGGGGACTATATGATTCAGAAGTACACTGAACTTAAACTTGTTATGACCTTGTCCTGACGATGCACATTTGACATGTTATAACCAATGATTTATATATACACATCATTAGTTATAACATTATGATGATCCAGCGACAAATGACAGAGAATTTTTAATAAGACTGCTGTCAGTTAGCTCATCTTTTCATGAACCCCATTCTATTCTCTCCTCAGAACTCTATCCGCCATAACCTGTCACTCAACAAGTGCTTCATGAAGGTTCCCAGGCAGAAGAATGAACCAGGAAAAGGGGGATTCTGGCAGATCGACCCTCAATACGCGGACATGTTTGTCAATGGGGTCTTCAAGCGCAGGCGGATGCCCGCCACCCATTTCAACACCCAGAGACACAGCAAAACCCAAGGATCATCCCGTAAACGAAAAACCCAGGAGTACCACCAGCATTGCCCCCAGACCCACTACACAGTGTCCCACAGAGGGGCAGGTGCTGGGAACAGATGCAAACGTGGTGGCACAAAGTGGGAGATAGTCCATAAGTCACCACTGTTGACAGCGGATCTCAGGGAACCAGATGCACTGAAGGGAGAACTAGACTGGGCCATGATGTTTGACGACGTTCTGAATGGGAGCAGCAATAACTTTGAGGATCTAGGGATGAACCTAGCTCTGAACTCCCTGGGCTGTAAGGTGGAGCTCTCCCAGCAGGATCAAGGCCGGGGCCGGCACCTGGGGAAGTGGTGCAACGGAGGGGCTGACTGGGACCACCAGCAGGCCTGCAGGTACATGGATGTGAGCACCATGGGCTGCTACAGCATGGAGGAGATCCAGCAGCACCTCAACCTAACTGGGCTGCAGCAGCCGCTCCCTTTGGCGGTCCACCCACAGCACTTTGAGGAGCTAACACTGTTCCCTGATGAGCAGCAGAGGCACCCCTGGGAGGAGCTGAAAGAGGAGCTGCAGGCAGTGCCTATCACCCTGGACCATAGCTTCTGTGAAGGCTTCTTCACTGAGATGCAGCCATGGGGGACAGCAGAGTCTTATGTGTGACACCCTCACCCAGCACCAGCCCCAATACTGAACAAGCACTCCAGCAGGCGGCCAGAGGACCTCGATAGACTACTGTTTTGCTACATTAGCATTATGGATTCATTCAGAGAAACATACGTTAATGAATTTTTTATCTGAGTCACATTTACTGTGTTTTTTATGTGCATTTTCTATTTGCTTTTTGATTGTTTGCATCCATGAAACAAACAGGCTGTTTTTATTGTAGTATTGAATGTCTGTTATAGAACAAAACTAATCTATCCTAATTAGCAACCACTTCGTTTTACATGAAGGGTTTCATTTCAAAATGCTATATATCAATTTTCAGAAATGTTGGTAAATTAGCTTTTATTTTTTAAAGAACTTATGAAAGAGTATGTTTTTTCACTGTCTAATCATGGCATGAGGTTGTTCAATGACAGACTTATTTATTTGAATTCTATCACTTGATGGTTTCATTTCAGAGAGACAAATAATCATGTTTTGTTGCAAAACGCTATATATCCGCCTCACTCTCAGAGGAATAAGTAGTACTTCTAGGTTTTACACAGTCAAATGTGATAAATAACTATGTATTTTATAGAGAACTGTACAGATTATACATTTGTGACATCAATATTTAAACAACAAAAATAAAAATGAATCAATATGAGATCTGTATGTAGAATAGCTGCATTTTACATTTAAGTCATTTAGCAGAAGCTCTTCTCCAGAGCGACTTACAATTAGTGCATTCATCTTAACATAGCTAGGTGAGACAACATTTACATTTACGTCATTTAGCAGATGCTCTTATCCAGAGCGACTTACAGTGCATACATTATTTTTATTTTTCATATTGGCCCCCCGTGGGAATCGAACCCACAACCCTGGCGTTGCAAACACCATGCTCTACCAACTGAGCTACATCCCTGCCGGCCATTCCCTCCCCTACCCTGGACAACGCTGGGCCAATTGTGCGCCACCCCCACATATCACAGTCAAATATACAGGATACGAACATTCCATTCCTGCTAAACAATGAATATATAGCGCTTTGCAACAAAACCTATTTTAATACATATATAAAATCTATTAATAAAAAAATTGAATAACAGTGATATTTTACACACCCATAAGCAATCATTTCTGATGAAAAAAAAACAAATGTGAAAAATGTGTGTATATAGCATTTTGGAACTCTTCACTTATTAATATACTATAATTTCATAATCAGTATTGTGTGGGCAATCAGATCAGACATAATGCAAGAGAGAGTGGTGCCCGTGACAGTTTGCCGGCTCTCTAGCCGGCTACATTATGCTCTGAAAGTCTTCAACTGTAAAACTGTATCATGATTTTTTATATTCTTTCCATTAGTAGATATTCTAAAAAAGCTCAGGGTTACCTAACATTAGTATAGCCATGGTTGTAAGGGTATGTTATGTAAAGGATATTTTACGTATGATTCAAGTAATACAATTAAAATATGAAAATCAGCATAGATGGTCATTTCTTTGGCAGTAAGTTTATCTAAACGTACATGTGATGAATGGGGAGATGAATTATTGAATTATTAATTAAAAGGCTGTAAATAATGCATTAATGAAATAAATACAGTGGATTTAAAAATAAACGCTTTCGTGATGTAGTTTCTATGATCTTCCTAGGTATAGGAAAAACGTGTGCTTTATATCTCACTATACTTTATTATTTATTACTAGTGTATGTAGACAGACAGATAGGACAAGTACAGTGCCTTGCAAAAGTATTCATCCCCCTTGGCGTTTTTCCTATTTTGTTGAATTACAACCTGTAATTTAAATGAATTTTTATTTGGATTTCATGTAATGGACATACATGAAATAGTCCAAATTGAAGTTAAATGAAAAAAATAACTTGTTTCAAAAAATTATACAAAATAAATAACGGAAAAGTGGTGCGTGCATATGTATTCACCCCCTTTGCTATGAAGCCCCTAAATAAGATCTGGTGCAACCAATTACCTTCAGAAGTCACATAATTAGTTAAATAAAGTCCACCTGTGTGCAAGGCCCCAGAGTCTGCAACACCACTAAGTAAGGGGCACCACCAAGCAAGCGGCACCATGAAGACCAAGGAGCTCTCCAAACAGGTCAGGGACAAAGTTCTGGAAAAGTACAGATCAGGATTGGGTTGTAAAAAAAATATTTGAAACTTTGAACATCCCACGGAGCACCATTAAATCCATTATTCATGTGACGAGGTGTGAAAGAAGGAGTCAGGCGCAGGAGGTAAAATACCGAAGTCCAGAGTTTAATCTGTTTGCATAAATCAAACGCCCCAAGCGTCAAATGAAACTGGACTGTACCCCTCCCACTCCACGAGATACTGAAGGCCCCCCACCCGACGCCTCGAATCCAGGATGGAATGAACCGAGTACGCCGGGGCCCCCTCAATGTCCAGAGGAGGTGGAGGAACCTCCCGTACCTCAGACTCCTGGAGCGGACCAGCTACCACTGGCCTGAGGACAGACACATGAAACAAATCAAATCAAATCAAATCAAATCAAATTTTATTGGTCACATGCGCCGAATACAACAGGTGCAGACATTACAGTGAAATGCTTACTTACAGCCCTTAACCAACAGTGCATTTATTTTAAACAAAAAAGTAAGAATAAAACAACAACAAAAAAGTGTTGAGAAAAAAGAGCAGAAGTAAAAAATAAAGTGACAGTAGGGAGGCTATATATACAATAGAATAAAGTGACAGTAGGGAGGCTATATATACAGGGGGGTACCGTTGCATAGTCAATGTGCGGGGGCACCGGCTAGTTGAGGTAGTTGAGGTAATATGTACATGTGGGTAGAGTTAAAGTGACTATGCATAAATACTTAACAGAGTAGCAGCAGCGTAAAAAGGATGGGGTGGGGGGGCAGTGCAAATAGTCCGGGTAGCCATGATTAGCTGTTCAGGAGTCTTATGGCTTGGGGGTAGAAGCTGTTGAGAAGTCTTTTGGACCTAGACTTGGCACTCCGGTACCGCTTGCCGTGCGGTAGCAGAGAGAACAGTCTATGACTAGGGTGACTGGAGTCTTTGACAATTTTGAGGGCCTTCCTCTGACACCGCCTGGTATAGAGGTCCTGGATGGCAGGGAGCTTTGCCCCAGTGATGTACTGGGCCGTACGCACTACCCTCTGTAGTGCCTTGCGGTCAGAGGCCAAGCAGTTGCCATACCAGGCGGTGATGCAACCAGTCAGGATGCTCTCGATGGTGCAGCTGTAGAATTTTTTGAGGATCTGAGGACCCATGCCAAATCTTTTTAGTCTCCTGAGGGGGAATAGGCTTTGTCGTGCCCTCTTCACGACTGTCTTGGTGTGTTTGGACCATGATAGTTCGTTGGTGATGTGGACACCAAGGAACTTGAAGCTCTCAACCTCTCTCAACCAAGGGGTTAATACGGTAATCAGGGGGGAGTAACAACCCATATGTCACCTCGTTTATTCTCCTCAGGACTTTAAACGGCCCCACAAACCGCGGGCTCAGCTTCCGGAAGGGCAGGCGGAGAGGCAGATTCCGGGTCGAGAGTCAAACCCGATCCCCCGGTACGAACACCGGGGCCTCCCTGTGGTGGCGGTCAGCGTTGGCCTTCTGACGACACATGGCGAGCTGGAGGCGAATGTGGGCAGCGTCCCAAGTCTCCTCCGCGCGCCGAAACCAGTCATCCACCGTGGGAGCCTCGGTCTGGCTCTGGTGCCACGGTGCCAGGACCGGTTGGTAACCCAAAACACATTGGAAGGGTGTTAGGTTAGTGGAGGAGTGGCGGAGAGAGTTCTGAGCATATTCTGCCCATGGCAGGAACACCGACCACTCCCCCGGCCAGTCCTGACAGTAGGTCCGCAGGAACCTACCCACATCTTGATTCACCCTTTCCACCTGCCCATTGCTCTCGGGATGAAAACCAGAGGTCAGGCTGACCGAGACCCCCAGATGTTCCATGAACGCCTTCCAGACTCTAGACGTGAACTGGGGACCTCGGTCGGACACTATATCCTCTGGTACCCCGTAGTGCCGGAAGACGTGAGTAAACAGAGCCTCCGCAGTTTGTAGGACCGTGGGGAGACCGGGCAGAGGAAGGAGGCGGCAGGACTTTGAAAAGTGGTCCACAACGTCCAGGACCGTGGTGTTTCCTTGGGAGGGGGGAAGATCTGTGAGAAAATCAATACTCAGGTGAGACCATGGTCGTTGTGGAACTGGTAATGGTTGTAGCTTACCCGCTTGGAGGTGCCTAGGTGCCTTACTCTGGGAACACACTGAGCATGAGGAAACATACACCCTCACGTCCTTAGCCAAGGTAGGCCACCAGTACTTCTCGGTCAGGCAGCGCATTGTACGACCGATACCTGGATGACCAGAGGAAGGTGACGTGTGTGCTCAGTAGATCAGATGATCACGGATAAGCGCAGGCACGTACTGCAGTCCAGCTGGACACTGCGGTGGAGATGGATCTGTGCGTAATGCCTGTGCTATATCTGTGTCCATCGCCCATACTACCGGCGCCACAATGCATGAGGCCGGGAGTATGGGGGTGTTGTCTCTGGGCCTCTCCTCTGTGTCATACAACCGAGACAGTGCGTCTGCCTTCACGTTCTTCGTACCCGGAATGTATGAGAGTGTGAAATCAAACCGGGTGAAGAAGAGGGCCCACCTGGCCTGGCGAGGATTCAGCCTCCTCGCTGCCTGAATGTACTCCAGGTTACAGTGGTCTGTCCAGACGAGAAAAGGGTGTTTCGCCCCTTTGAGCCAATGTCTCCACACCGTCAAAGCTCGGACAACAGCCAACAGCTCCCGATCACCAACGCCGTAGTTATGCTCCGCTGAGCTGAGCTTCTTAGAAAATAAGGCACAGGGGCGGAGCTTGGGTGGCGTGCCCGAGCGTTGGGATAAGACAGCTCCTATCCCTACCTCGGATGCATCCACCTCCACTACGAACGGTAGTGATGGATCGGGGTGAGCCAGTACCGGGGCTGAGGTGAACA